ATTTGCTGTAAATTTTCCATCACAGGTCCTTGTCCTGGGGTAGATGGTGCATTATGTTGCAACTGTGGCTTAGGAACAGTTAACTGCCCACTCAAACCAGGCAGCTGTTGTGTTTGTGGAGCCTGACTGTAAGGAGTATGACCAGCAGAGTACGGCATATGCATTTGACCCAATTGCGCGTGTGATCCATGCAAACTTTGTGTTGTGGAGAAAGAAGCTGCATTCGAAGGTTGTAGTTGCAAGGAAGATGGCAAGTGTTGTCCTGATTTAGGTGGTCTCTGAACTGGTGATATTTGCGGGCCAACAGATGGAACTTGAGGCCGAGACTGGTTAAAACCCTGGATTTAAATTCAGCAAGATATAAATCTCAGTTTTAAAGATGCAACAAATACAATTCCCCATCCAGCTAAAAATGCTAATTACTCTACATACCATCTGTGACATAGGTGCAGAAGAAACCGCAGGTCCAGAATGCATACCATCAACATTGCCTGGAAGGCCACCAATAGAGCCCTGAAAGTTTATGCGTGCAAAATACAATTTAAGAAACATTTAAAATGGTGGTGAAAAATAAGCAGCACAATGTGGATATAATTCCACAAATTACTATATCTAAAATGTCTATTAGTGTAGAAAATCAAGAATAATACCAACAAAATATTTGAATCCATGTATGCAAAATTCACAATTACTGTTTTAAGTCAAAACCTCTAAAGAAAATCATAACCCCTTAGATATGGTTCATAGACCCGAATTATATGCATATAATGGAAACAAAATAATAGTCCCAAGAAAATCTTTAAAAAAACCACCCAAAACTTTAGAATCATTCAGTACATTAAAATTGTAAACTGTAAATGTTAAATGTTCAGGCACAATTAATGTTGAAATCGGATAAGTTTCTAAATAGGAAACGCATCACACACAAGTGAATAATGCTCTTACTGGAGTAGAAGACACAACATCCCCAGACCTAGAAGGCAACTGATTTCCAAAACCAAGCATGTTAACATTAGAATGTGGACCCAGATTTTGTGAACTTGCTTGAGACCAGGCATTAGGAGGAATGCCACCATGCAATGGATTCCCAAGGTCAGATGCTGGTCTGCAGAAAAACCCAAAAAAACGATGTAAATCTGAAATGTCTCATTAAAGGCATTAGAACTTTTGTCTCATTAAAAGAATTAGAACTTTAAGTTTGAAATGATAAAGGAGGGAAAAGCTGGAATGGATAAACAAGCAGAATAGAATAAAGGAATACCTAGTCCCAGGTGCAGGAAATCGAGGACCAAAACCAGGACCACCTCTGAGAAAGGAGAAAGAGAATTAAGTTTATCATACCAACAAAAAAAGAACAGAACTATAAATAGGAGTTA